AAACGTAAAATACGCCCATGTAATTATCACCCGCACACACTGACACACACACATGCATTCTCATGATCACAACACTTATACTTTTAATTAATAAGACAAAACTAACTAAATTAGATGGATAAAAAAATTAGTTAAAAATGATACATGTGTAAAAAAAAAAAAATGTAACTCATTTTTCAGAAACACTCTTATTCACAGAGAGTGAAAAGGTGAGCGTGAATAATGCAATAAGACTAACTAATAACCAAAAAGGAAAAAAATAAAAATATTAAAATTTCAGACAAGTTATTATTATTTCTAGGAAAATTATCTTATATATGAGATTCAATGGAAGTATTAAATTTTATGATAACAAGGATATCATTTGGTTGAATAAAAAAGCGTTGCGAAGTTGTAGGGTGCTTTTAATCAATTCCTAATTTTACCGTTTGAGCGGAGAAATAAAAAAATAATGAAATTAAATAATACTATTTGCTTTTAAAAAAATAATATATTTTTGAAGGGTCTAATTATCATCCCAAACAAGTATGAATAAGACTTTGTAGAACGAAGGTAGGAGGAAGGAAGCGATGTGAGTACGTGGCACGTGGGAACTATCATATGAAGGTACTGAAATTGGGCAAACGCAGAACACGCCAAGCGCAAATAAATGTACCAATGCCTTGAAAGGAACAGTTCTGGTTTCCTTTCTACGTGGGGGGATGAGAATTAAAATATACAAACAAAATATCATTCTATCTTTATTATATTACGACTTAAAAATAATTAAAATTAGTTAAAAATAATTAATATGTAACAAATATAATTTTTTTAAATATATCCATATATAAACAGGTAGATATGATGGAGTAATAGTGAAATAAATGAAGAAAGATAATGTATTAAATGCATTAAATTAGGAGTAAAATAAGTACTAATGTATTAAATTTTCAGAAAAAACTAAAAAAAAAGTCTTATAAAAAAAGGACAAACATATTCAAAAAATTAAATCTTATAATAAGAGACGGAGGGAGTAATACTCTTTTGTCTCTGCTAAATATACTAAATACTAAATATAAGATTTACTTTATAGTGTAATTTATACTATAAAGTGTATCTTATATTTAGTACCGAAAGAATACTACTCTTGTTTAAAGAGTTAGTTAGATGTTCAATTTAATCCTAAATAAATATTCTTTTAATCCTATTTATAGAATAGAAAAAAGATATTTTTTGGTCCCATTTATAGGGTAATAAAAGAAATTTTTTTATATAGATGTAAAATTTTACTCTTAATTTATTATTGTGTTGATTTTATTTATATGAGATATTATCTATATATTAAATAAAGATAAATTAAAAAGTTGCTAAATTTTACAAGAGAGTTGATCATGTTTAAAGTTTTTCTTGGTCTATATGAAATATGTTGAAAGTAACTTATAAATGAGATCATAGGAGTATACTCCTCTAGTCCTATTTATAAGGTAGAGAAAGAAGACTTTTTTTATCCTATTTATAGGGCATTAAGAGAAATTTTTTATATAGATGTATAATTTTATACTTTATTTATTATTACGTTGACTTTGTTTATATAAGGTATAATGTATATTAAATAGAAATAAAGTTAAAAAGTTGTTGAATTTTAAATAAGAGTTAATGAAGTTTAAAGTTTTTTTTTATCTGTGTCAAACATACTGGAAATGACTTATAAATAGGATCAGAAGAGTAAAATTCTAATTAGCCTTATCTGACATATTTATTTTTTTTTCAAAATAGGATTTTTAATTCACATTATTAACAAAATTATTTTTAAAAAAATAATATTATTTATTATAAATATTATCTTAACTAATTTTTTAAATATTAATAAATTAGTTATCTTCCTCCACGTGATAAACAAGTTTTGGCCCAATCTCATCGTACCACTGGGACCCACATGTGACCCGCTAATTTAATGTCTCTGAAACTCATGGGTTCTTCGACACAATTTCTTATGCTGACTGAAACCTCTGATGACTCTGATGAGATACAATCCCAGATTAATCACTTGGATTAATAAAAAACAACTTAATCAGTGGCCTCCAACAACAAGCAATCACGTCATCATCATTCAATGCGAATCTTAATTAGCTATTAATTCACGTTTTCACATAGTATGAAATAAAGTAATCACATGTGAACACGTTTATTGTTAATCTTAAATCCGAAAATTAATTGGCAAACAAACACAGTGAATACCATACGATCCTGCACGTCTCAGCCCTCTCAATTTATCCGCGCACATTTTAATTTCTTCCCCATATTTTTTAATGAAAAAGCAGACCGTGTTTTCTTCTTCTTTCTGCTGAATCTCATCCTCTCTTAAAACTTGAAAAAAAAAAAAAAAGAAGTTCAGATTTAATATTTTATAAAACTATCATTATAATATTTTATGAATTATTTTTAAATATATTTTCATAATGCAATTTTGAACCGTGCATCTCAAACTTTAATAGTTTAATTTTATATTGTTTATAATTATAATTTTAAAAAATTAAATCTAAATCATCCACTCTTTATTTAGATATGGATGTGAGATTTTGGAAAAAAAAAAAAAGCAGAGAGAGGAAAATGAGAGAACCTAAAATTATAAATGAGATCAAACTCATATATTGGATTAAACCCGTGACATCTCCCTTATAAAAAAGTTTCCATGTTACTAACCACATAACTACTAATAAAATGAGAGCGATGGGATGCCTATCTTCGTCCATGTAATGACAAATGACCATGCACATGAGTAGATATCCATAATGGACACTAATCATTTAAAATGACACATTGTATGATATGGGTTGGAGGGGATTCCTATAACAAACATGAGTCATTTTAAAATAAAAATGGGAATATTTTTCAAAATATAACTTCTCATTCTTTTTCTTTTTCTAATGTTTTCTCTCGTCTATTCAAATAAAAGGAGTAATAATATTATCACTCCAATTTTCCTTTTTTCCAACTTTTTCTCTCATCTAAATGGAACATAACGGCTCAAGGTTACAAATATAATAGGGTAACAAGGGGATCAAATTCATAACCTTCTACTCATACAATACCATGGGGTCAAATGAGAGCGATGTGATACCTATCCTCGTCCAATGTGAATAACAAACGACAGTATGAATGGGGTATATTGCTATAACGAAAGTAGGATTCATTTTACGTATTGTGATGGATGGAGCGGCTGAGATCTCATTTTAAGGTAAAAATGAGAATGTTTATCAAAATACTATCTCCAATCTTTAATATAAGACCCTGTTTGATTTTTATTTTAATCCTAAATATAAGACCTCAATCCACCTTATCTCTTATATTTACTTAATTTTTTTCCAAGATAGTCCTTCTAATAATTATAATTCTAGTTAATACACTTGATTAGTAAGGATATTTTAGAAAAGATAATACCTATTTAGGACAAATAACTAACTCAACTTACTTTCTTAATCTCCTCAAATTAGTCAACTGGCTCTTATAATTAAGACCGAAGGTAGTATATAATTGCACTTTCATTTTCCATTGAGTGGAGGCTCCAAATTGACTATGTCAGCAGTTCTTAAAGGGCCCCAGAAGCATAAGATTCATGCACAAGGCAAAAGATAGAAGTGGGAAAAGGAAAGCAGAAAAGATGATGAAATATTATTATATTCATGTGTAATCTAGAAACTAAATCAGAATCAGAATCAGGTCTCCCACTCAGCTGCCTCATCCTTTACTTATTTTCTTTTCATTTGTCTTGTTTTAAACATGTTGTCTAAATTTATTAGATTAGAAGTTAAAAGACATATTGCATATGCAGCTCTGGAAGGGCAGAATTGAATAAGATATTGGTCTAAGGGTGGAAAAGTTACTCGCCCTAATAATGAATATTTGGGCCTGAGCTTCAGAAATAACAATAATTTTTTCTTGATACAACAATATAAGAAAATCTTTGGAGGACTTGTTTACGATATTTTATTACAATTTTTTTTCACTTTCTATTAGTAACCAGTGAACTACAAAAATGAGGATATTTTTGGAAAGAAATTCACATTCCTAACAAATTTGTTGATTTTAACTATTATCTATAGTTTTTAATATAAAAATCTACTTAAGTAGATCAAGAAAGTCAAATAAAATAGTTAATGGCATAAATGTAACATAATCTACTTAAAATACTTCTATATAACATTAAATTTTATATCAATTTATAAATTCCTTAAATTAGTTCAAAAAAATAATAAATACAAAAGTTGAAATGGATTATATCTTATTAATTTTGATGAATTACTTATTTGTTTCTTATAAAAAGAATGGAAGAGGGTAAATCATCGGTCAATTGTAATACATATTCATTGATTTTCGACATGAAATGGCATACAATTTAATTGCGTTTGACACAAGGACAAAGCGTACTATATTTGTTTATTCTCCATGAACGAAGAATAACCCACAAGAATCAAACCGTATGGCTAAAGCGGCCAAATTGCTTCAATATTTTTGGACCAAAAAAAAATTGACTAAATATTTGGAATCTTCGCTGGCTTAACCATACTTGATGATTCGGTACAAAATGGGGAAAAGAAAAAGAAAAAGCAAAAAAAATAAAAAATAAAATAAAAGGCTCTATCCCATAAACAAAAAACATCTTTCCAAACATTGTACAGTTTCGTATGGATTACCTGGGCATATGGCAAACACCATATGAAATTTAATGAAGAAAAGTAAAGATGAAATGAATTTTGGTTCTCCAGTAGGGATACGGTGCAGAACAGCGCATAAGTAACGGTTCCACAAATGTCGATTACGCATATCAGAAAAGAATTTATGTTAAGAGGCCCAAAAATAAACCACTGATCAATGTCCAAACCTTCACGGCTTCACCACAAGTAGATAAAATAGGGAAGATGATAAAATACATGTATACGAGTAATGAATGACCATCGTAGTGTCAAGAAATCGATCGCTCATGTGAAAGTCATACCGAGTGCATATGTCAACCTTTTCCGTTAATTCTCGAGTCCAAGTTCATCAGACTCTTTGAAGCTTAGCCACCTCCAGATTTGAGCGCATTACTCAACCTACGCACACAGGCAGCTCATACATTAACACCACGAGATAACAAGCCAAAAAGTGCAACCAGAAAAAGGAAAGAAAGAAGCAACAGAAGGGAAAATAAATAAATAAAGCAAATTAAGTCATTGACATATCTTTCTTCAAGTTGACATTTCCATTTATCTTACAAAACGATTTTTATTTTTTATCGTCCTTAAATTCAACAAACCACCCTAATGGTACTTACTCCTCTCATTTAAGACAGACTACTTTCATTTGATATGCTCCCTGCAAGCGCTACGATATTTTCTGAAGAAGGTAAACTTGCCCTTACATTTTCTGCCAGGGAAATGTATGTTATCCATAAACCATTTGTTTCATCTATAAGCAAATTGTATTTGAATACTCCTTCAAGATGCCAATTACAGTACTTTCAACGGGGTGGTACAAGACATATTACCAGGTATCTCATTCCATTCATAATTCCAAATTCAACTCATAGAAGGACTCAGACTTGTAGACTAAATTCTATCAATTGTATCTTACAAGTTCAAAACAGGTTGTACTTAATGCAAGTTACAAACTATTGTTGGTTAAAAAGAAGGAAAAAAAAATCAAAACAGATAGTACTCCCTCCGTTCCTTATTATAAGAGACATTTGATGCTTATGGTATGTTCCTATATATAAGAGATACTTACATGTTGTCTCTATTTTTTTGTGTTACTATTTTACCCATATTTATTATCTCCAACTCACACTCTCTCTCCCTCCCACTTCTCTTTCTTTTAATAATTTAATTATTCTCTCTCATGCTCTCTCTCTATTAATGAGGGCGTTTTTGGAAAAAATTATACTTTTTACACATTAATTCTTCTTAACTAATTTTAACTGTTTTTTTTATCAACGTACTTCGATTATTTGTCTCTTATAATAAGGTACGGAGGGAGTATTACTTAAGTTTATTGGACTTACCAATCCAGGCCCTCAAAAAGCCCTTCACCTTTTATGGCAGAAGCTTTAAAAATAGACCATTGGCGGTTTTTGATCTTGTGTAATTCTAAAGCCTCAGTCACTGCAGCAGCATCAAGGGCACCGGGAAGGTCCTGTACAGGGAGAGAAAATTAGAAAAGAAAATAAGAATTTAATAGAAATATATTTTTAACAAAGCAAGGATTTTCACCAATACTATCAGCTTTCTAACCCATTTAAATGTTTTCTATGTTCCTTGGATAGCAGAGTTGTACAAGCTAAGACCAAGATGAAGTTCAGACCTGTTTGTTGGCAAAAATGAGAACAACTGCACCTTTTAGTTCTTCCTCCTGACAAAAATGATCCCATAAAGTGATTAGTCATACTTCAATAAGCTTGTAAATTGCAACCACAAGCAACCTAACCAGTCACGTAGACTAGTGGGAAAGGACGCCAGGAAACAAGAAAAAAATATATCCCAACATAGGAATTATAATCCACAATTATGTCCAAAGAGTATCCACTAAAAAATGTATGAATTTACATTTTCACATTAACTTAAAGATGATATTGACCAGTGCGGTGAATGTAATTGTGTACCGGTATTGCATTTCTCAGCTACACAAACTAAGCACCATAGCACTCAATATTGCCAAGCTGAAATTACTCATGCAGTACTGTTATTTGCTTGATAGTCTTTCAACCAAGAACGAGCACTCCTTCGTGATAGTCGCTAATGTTAAATAGAATAAATAAAAGTGATAAGCAGGACAGTAACACATGTTACAGGGGGAAATACTGCTATAAGACTCCTCCAAGCTTAGATGCATAATGTGATAGTTGAAGAAGAAGTTGATATTAGTGCTTGAAATTTCTCATTCTAATTGTTAATACATGTCTTGGGATTGCTAACCTACTCATTGATGCAGTAAAGGTAACAATCTCTACATTTGAAGTTAGAACTCATTACCCATATTTTTCCATATAAGAGGGGGATAAACTCATTACCCATTTTTTCCATATAAAAGGGGGCACAAAGTTTGATGATAACTCTTGAACACTGTTATTAGAAAAAATATAAATATTCTTTTTGCAAACTCTCTATCTCATATCATACCACATGATGCTCTGCTAAGATCCTTACCAGTGATCTCTCCAACACTTCAAATGTAAATGACTAAATTACTAATAGAAGTCATGTATATCATATTTGGGTAACAATGTTAATCAAGCACACAAATCAATTAATAATATCCTTGAGCTCTTGTCAGAAATAGACTCAACCAGAAAATCCCACGTCAATTACTACAGAGCTTCTTAGTACAAAAACAGAATCCCATTCTTATGCTCGTACCATGGCCCAGTTTGGTTGCTATTTGCCTTCATGCACAAAGATTAAGCAAGCATTAGACGGGAGGGGAAAGAAGAAACTAAGAAATTGGTTTTGGTAATTTTTCTTTTCTTTTCCCCTCTTTTTTTTTTGGGGGGGGGGGGTTGGGGGGGGGGTTGGAGGGGAGAAGGGGGGAAAAGAAAGAGCCTATGTCAGAGTGGGAGAGAGAATACATGGTAATGCACAATAATTTTTTTTCTTTTTTAACCACCTAAAGTATGACAAATTATAACGAAAATGTCTAGAAAAATTACTTGGATACGCAATGTTTGTTTTGTTTTACCATAAAAGTCAGGCGTGCATGTAGGCATGCACATACGGATGCACCCACAACTCCTATTCATGCTTGTTAGACTCTATTTCCACTTGTTGGCATCCTAAAATTCTTGGGAAGAACCAATCGGATATGCGCTGTTAATGAGACATGATTCTCTGGCCCAATCATGATTGTATATCGTGGTTGGAACCGAAGTGTTTTGTTTCCCTTTTTTATTCCTGTTTCATCAGGCTTTATGTAGCATGTTTATTATTCTTTTTTAAGTTGAGGATTGATTAGGTCAACTTTTGTGGCTTGCTCGTCTATGTGTTGCAACTTGTGTTTTGGAGAAAGAAGTTTCATGGTGAAATTCTTCCTGGTAAAAGCGCATTTTCAACAACGTTGAACCATTCTCATTGAGCACCACACCGAACACTTCATAGTTACATATTACTCAATGTGAAACTTAGATGTCCCATACTAAGCACCAAGTCACGAGCATAGAACTGCCCCTCAAGAGATGATGTCTTAGCGCAACTCTTCACTCTAGCTTCTTGTTGATCACCTCCATTATAAAGTGCCAATGACTAACCAGCTCTGAAATCAACTGGTAGACTCAAGGAGGCGACAGTAACACACTGTCTCAAGGAGTGAAAAATCATCTCAAGAACTACTCCAAACATTCCATAATACTTGATGTGTAACTTAGGCACTCCATTCCGCCCAATTCCTATTATGTTCCTTTTTTATTTCATATTTCCTGAGACTATGTATTACAGCATGTTTATTTCACACTCAACGTGCTCTACTATCCTTTAATAGGAATTGGGCGGGATGGAATGCCAAAATTCCACATCAAGTATTATGGAATATTTGTTCCGGTTCTTAAGAAGATGATTTTTTTTACTCCTTGAGACAGTGTGTTGCCATCACCTTTAAGCATGTTATTTCATGTTTCCTTTTTAATTATATGTTTATTTCCTTTTATGGTAAAGTTGATCATTTAATTTTCTGTCGTCTACCACCGCTACGTATCATAGCATCTGTTTTGGTATAAAATAAGAATTTCAGCGTCTTCAACACTAATAAACACATAGAGACAGCTACTTTTGTGCACTACGAATATCTACTTCCATGAACTACAAATTTTCCAGAATTCTTAAGCCCATTAGCACTAAATACTGATAAGAAGATTGAAGGCAAGAGTTGACATCATAGAGAAATGCTGCACGTGTGGAACATAAACCAAGTATAGCATACCTCAAGAACTGCATGAAATTCTTCTTTAGCTATCACCAGTCTGTCAGTGTCACTTGAATCAACAACATAGATTATTGCTTGAGTATTTGGAAAGTAGCACCTCCAATATGGCCTATGCAATGGAAATCAAAGAAAGTTGTAACACATTAAAATAATAGAAAGTTCACTTTCAACAATCAAGAGCTTAGGAATAAAAGACCGCATGCAAACGTGTAAAAGATAAATTTTCTCTGGTATGTTGTTAACCCATTCATAACTCAAATTAAATCCGCAATGCGTTTCAGTATTAATTGTAGGCTTGTTTTAAATTTTCTGCTACTTTAATTTCAAAAAGGGTTAGTCTACAATTCCAATGAAATTATAAATGTGTGACATTGGGTCGTAAACCAAAGTTTCTTCCTCTTTCTTGTTCATACATATAATCTTGAAGAGTAAATTACATTAGCCCTGCCCAGAAATTTCTAAGCAAACTCCTTTGGTTTCAGAATCTTAATCTTCCGTGTTATAAGATTACCAACAGACCTTATACCTCTTCCAAAATGTCCAAGCTACTCCAGCCTACAGGCCTGAGACACTGGAAGAATCGTGAATTGAGTTTTGAAGGTTTACTTAGGAGGTGTTTGGAACACCCCATAATCACTTTTCAGAAGCACTTTTTCGCAGATCAAGACAAACTCCTCCACATATTTACTTCGTATACCGTAAAAGCACTTCTGAAAGTATGGCTTTGTTCTTACCCAAACACCCTCTTAATTTCTGATCAGGCCCCAATAATTTGAAAGTTCTTAATTGGTCAATTATAGTCATAAAATTTTTTAATTTGGTTCCCTTTCATCAAAACTACGTCCCAGGGCAGTGAAAATGGTGGTTGGTTTAGTACATCTCTAGAAGCTGTATCCACCTCACTCTTGACTCTAATTGCACATCTCTGACCATCAAAATGCAAAATGGTGTTTCACCATATTCAGCTGCTAATATTTGAAACCATTGAGGGTGAGGATAGAGGTTTTATAAGCCTTTGGGGAATTGGACGTATTTACTTTAGTGTTAACTACATTGACAACAGTGAGCATAACCTACCATTCCTTCCATTTTGAAATGCTTTCCTTCATTTATTATTCATTTGTTTAGATATTTACATTGCAGGAAGCATACATGTTTATTGCCGCATAAGGATTCATCTGATCTATCCCAGCAAAATGAGCTTTAGTTCAGTATTCAGATAATGCCAACATCATTGACCACAACCAACACATATACTGACATCATAATAATGCCGGGACCAACCAAACAATAGATTGATGAGTGATAATCTTGTTTATTTAAAGTTACTGCTTGGTAAGAATATATAGTAGGTCTGAATATCTTACATGTTTCATTAAAACCTAATTTTTCCTAAAATTGTTTGTTTATTGTATTGCCCAGTGATCAGGAACAACCTTACAGCCCCTCATGTCTTTTATCTCAATCAAAGAAGTTGCATCGTGTATTGTATAATATCATAGCAATGAATGTGAATAAATTGTAAAATCCTCTAAAATAACTTCACGTACTAACCCAGAGTCACAACAATATGTCAGTTGGGCATGATTATAGTACATAAAATGAAAAGGAAAAAGAAAAAGAGCACAGCAGTATAGAGTGGAAACAAATCTCAAAGCTTACAAACTATTATCTTATAAGAGGGAGGGGCAAAAAAACCCAAGAAGAAGAAGACGAAGCAGGGATATGAAAAGAAAAACAAATCTTAAATCAATATATTTAAACAAATCTAAAGCCAAGTGTTACCTGATACTTGTTTGCCCACCTGTTTCAACAAAGATACACTATCAGTATAAGAAATTGAAATAACTGCTATTTGATTAAAACATGTTAATTTCCCAGCAATTGCAAGCTCACAAATTGGGAAGGATAAAATATAACAAATGGAGGTACAAACGTCCCTAAACCGACTCAGAGAGGGGGTTTATTTCCTCAGTGCATAGATGCAAGAAAATCCTCAAGGATCAACATGAATCAAGATAGAAATGTGCCAAAATGACTCCTTTAACATTCAAAGGTGGCAGCACATATGCACAAAAGTGCGCATAAACATCATAGAAAGAGAGCAAAATTATCTCATCTTCTCACTGTATTTGGTGCTAAACTTGTGAGCTTTAATTTAAGAGCAGAAAAGATTTTGCGGCGAACATGGGTCCCTGTGTGCTTGCTTGAATTAACCACATACAGAGAAATGCCATACAAATGTGATATAGTCAATTAGGTAAAGAAATACCAGGAGATTTCATTAGGATACAAATTTAGGAGCTAGAAAACCATATGACTTATTCATTGTGTTAACCATTCATTTAGACGTTAAGATACATATGTGAACATGTAGTAACTGAGGGATCACTGGTTAAATGATGTAAAGATGTCAGAGCAATTGTAATTTCCACAACTTTCCGTTATCAACCAATGATATTAGATTATCTCTTTTATTTTAAATACGTGTTGTATGACAATTGCAATGAAATTAGATGCCACCACAGAATATACACAAAACTAGGTCTAGGTAGAGTGCTTACCTAAATCCCAAACTTGAAACTTAATGTTGTTATATTGCACTGTTTCAACGTTAAACCCAATTGCTGCATCCAATCATTAAATCAATCAGTCGTTTACCATAAAGGAAATATCAAAGAGCATAAACACGTTAGTGCTGTAAACACTTCAAGTGTGCAGTATGCAGTGCACACATCCAAATGTTCACACCAAAATTCAGATTCAGAAATGTTCCAATATCTTGAACAATGAAATATGAGGAACACAATATAATCACACGATATTCCCAACAGAGTGATTTGCCTTATACAAAATGACTTCCAAGAAGATCCAACGGCGACCAAAACAGCAGAAGTTAAGAGTCAAAATTATATAGCCTGCTATCTTCACAGAAGCTCTAGCAGATCAGCAATAAATGAAAACTATTAAACACACAGGATGGAGATGATTAGATTTGATAATCATAAAACAAGAAAGGGTGCCAACTTGGTATGGTGGAGACAACTTCGCCCATTTGAAGCCGATCTGAAAAGGTATGACAGCAATAACAATAAAAAAAAGGTCAATATTCTTGAAACGAAGACAGAAAGGTTTGATCATGGTAAGCAGAGAGTTTGGATGCATACAGAGAATTGTGGTTTTTCCTGCATTGTCGAGGCCAAGAACAAGGATTCTAGCTTCCTTGTTACCGAAGAGGGAAGAAAACAATCTGGTGAACACTAAACCCATGCTGTGATTGCGCCGAGAAGGACAAGCAGAGTGCACTTACTGCATCAATAGTAATCAAATCAGAAGAAGAAACTCTGATTTACGAGAAAACCAAGATCAGATCTCAAAGCAGGACCCTGACGTTCCCGCAAAAACCACGGATATGAATGAATGTCAATGTCAGTGTGAGTCTGAAGTGCGCTTCAAAACGTGTACGCATGCGTCTGCGTGCCTGAGAAGGACGGGAGCGCCGGTGATTGAATTTTGAAAGCAGAAACACTCCAGAGGAGAGGAAGATAGAAAGCGAGAGGAGGACCGAGTGACGACCTTGCTCCCTCAAAAAAATCGAATCAGAAAAATGGAATGGGAAGCTACCCAGTGACGAGGACCATGACTAAGCACAGGGGATGTCTCATTTTTCCCCCTTTTTCTGCCTGAATTTTTTTTCAGGGAGAATATTATTTTTTCCGCCCTTTTTGGGTTCCAGTCCCTTCGCGGAGATACTTATATTTGACCCAAATATTTAATAAATATATACACTTCAATATGAAAACTACTGTGGAATATTTGTTTATATGAAGAAACAAGAAATTGTTGGCCAAACAAACAAACAAAAAAACAGAAATCATTGCGTAAGAAAGCGATGAATCTGTATTCCTTACCTCTAATTTTCCTTCTCACGCCGCTGATGCAAGGATAGAATTTTAAAGATAAATATTTAATTTTAAAAATAATTTTTAAAAATTTATCTTGATTTGTGAGAAAATATTTTTTTTAAAAAAATCATACAGCAATGGGGTTGGGTCACTGGTCCAGTGACTTTGCTGTCACTCTTGGAGATAAAAGTATAAAACGTTGCAAGCAAATCCCATCATCATATATATTAGTAAGTTGTATGTGCGTGTTATTATATACTACCTCCAATCTTTAATATAAAATTAATTAAGCGTAGGATTTACCTTTATACTACCTCTGATCCTAATTATAAGAGTCAGTTGACTAATTTGAGGAGATTAAGAAAATAAGTTGAGTTAGTTATTTGTCCTAAATAGGTGTTGTCTTTCCTAAAATATCCTTGCTCATCAAGTGTATTGACTAGAACTATAATTATTAGAATGACTATCTTGGAAAAAATTGAATAAATATGAGAGACAAAGTGGATTGGGGTCTTATATTTAGGACTAAACTAAAAGTCAAACAGGGTCTTATATTAAGGACCGGAGGTAGTATATAAAATTTCAATCCGTTTTGTCTTATAAATTAATAATTCATTATCTAAAGCATTATTATTGATTGCACATATTAAGAGATTTCCATTCAAGTATAGTTATGAATTAAAAGGGTATTTTGAAAAAATCAACCCATATTTATTACAAATAATAATTAGTTTAACTAATTTTTATAATCTATCCAAATTAAAAATTTAATATCTCTTATATTAACATATATGAGTTTTTTTTTTTTTACAAGAATACTAGGGATAGTAACTTTAATTTTAAGTAATTTTAATAATGTTAGCGGAAGTAGTAAGTTTTAATTTTTCTTTGTAAACTTAAATAATCATTTTAATTTTTAGTTTTATAAATAATTATAATGATTATTATATTCAAGAGTTTTTGCTCTGGCATTTTAATTAATTTTGGTTTCAAACTCCATCACTTATATGAACACATTTTATATAAATCAAGACAAAATTTTTCTTATATACTTACTTCATATTTCATAAACTATGAATAAAAAGCTATTTATCAGCCGGTTTAGCCAAGTGTTTGGAGGGTAATAAGTAGCTTTTTTTTAAGCGTAAACCCAAGTGAAGAATTTGTGCTGTTTGGCTTAGCGATTCGACAATATGACTTTTGTATAAAAAGCTACAATAATCTATAAGCTAAAATTAACAGCTTATGGGTGTGTTTGGGATAGCGGTGACAAAAGTAACTTTTTTTCAATCTGACTTTTACAGAAGTCAGATTGAGTAAAAGTTAGATAGGATAATGTGATTTATGTTTGGATTAGATTTTGGAAAAAAGTCAGTTTGAGAAGCTAAAACTTGTTTGAATGATAAATGTAAAAGTAAATTTGAATATAAAATGACTTAAAAGGACATAAATTTTATTAAATAGTACATATCTAATATTAGATATATATATATATAATGTGACTATTTTTTAAGAAGTAAGGAAAATAAAATTATTAAAAGTAAAGAAATTTAATTTATTATTAGAAAGAAATTATATATATAATGTGACTATTTTAAATGAAGTAATGAAAATAAAATTATTAAAAATAAGAAAAATTTAATTATGCAGGGTCAGGTAGGTAAAAAATTTTAACACCCTAATAAATATTCTAACGGTTTTCTCAACGCCAGCGGCATGCAAAAAAAAGCACCGAAAAAGAGCTTTTCTTAAAAGTCCATCTACACCTCAGAAGTCAGATTGCCTCAATATGGATCCAAACATGTTGAAAAACGCAGCCTGTTAAAAGTCAGGTGGGAATGCACATTGGGAGGCCCAAACGTGATCCCAAACGAGGTCTATAACTTATAGCTTATGGCTTTATAGCTTTTGAAACATGAAAAGAGAAAAAGCTAAGAAATTTATTATCTTATTTGATTCTTATTATAAATCTCAAATAACTAATTTGTAGATAAAAAATCAGTTAAAATTAGTTGAAAGTAATAAATAAGTTAGAAATATACTTTTGTTTTTAAATATGCTCCTAGAAATATACTTTTATTTTCAAATATATCCTTATAATAAATAATAAAAAATAAAAGAAAATATAAACAAATTTGGTAAAATTATTTTTTTTAATAATGTTTTATTATTTATTAAAACTCATAGTCATTCTGATAATTTTATAAACAAGTTTATTTTTACTTAATCATAATCCAAATAACTTTTTACCAATCTCACTTTTACAAACTAACTTTTCTAAACTCCAATCCAAATACAATTCAGTTTATCCAATTTAATTTTTATCCAACTTCACTTTTTTAAAAATTACTTTTCTAATAAGTTACTTTTCTAATCGCTGATCCAAACAGATCTTATAAGCCAACCAATCCAAACACCACCTATCAGCTTTCACATATGGCAGGTTCCCGCAGGCTAATTCACATGGGAGTCGTTTCTATGGGCAGAGACCATCACGGGTTCTCGCATCTTTTACTGCGCGCCGATCACATGATTAATCAAAAACATGTTTCCTCTTCTTTTTATTTTTTTCCTCACAAGTATGATGCATATAAATACAATCGTTCAAAGAGATATGGGTTCACCGCTCCTTAATTAAGGGATGTTTGGATATAATTAAACCATGATTTGAAGAATAGCTTCTGAAGAATAGATTTTTTGAAGAATAGATTTTGTGAAAAAGTGATTCTAAGAAATGAGAGTATTTGGATAGTTGTTACCAGAAACACTTTTTACATGTACAAATTACTAAAAAAAACATAAGTTAATATGATAATTAAAGAAAAAATATATTTTATGATATATTTTAATTTGAAGGAATAAAATTGTTAATAATATATTTTTATTAACATAATTAATAATACATAAGATAATATAATTAATAAATAATTAACATGTATATATATTTATAAGATATAAGATTAAATATATTTATAAAAAAATATGTTTATAAAAAAAACAACAAGATACATATCCTATAGGCTCTCACACTCTTTTCTTTTTTTTCCAAAAGCAAAAAATTTCTGCTTTTCCCAAAACCATGGTTTTGAAAGTTCTGGCCAGGAACATAGAATTCTATGATCTACCCTATTTAGGGCTCGTTTGGATTGCCATTTGGAATGCCAAAAGCATACGGAAAAGCATGAAAACTGAGGTTTGTGGCTTATTGCAGCTTAGAAGATTGTTTGGATTAAGCTTCGTTTCTAACTGACTTATGAAAAAAAGTAACTTTTCTAACTGACTTATCCAACGCAATCTAGATCAACTTTTCTAACTGACTTATGGAAAAATTGTGCAAAACTTACGATCTAATTAGTTATGTGATTCTATTTACTTTAATTAGAGACCAAATAAATTTTAATTTATATTAATGTTTGTTCATTATGTATATTTAATTAATTATCTACAATATATTTTCAAATTTTTCTCCGTAACAAATATTTTTATTTTATAATTTTACAAATAAATTATTTATATTTTATCATAATAATTTCACGTGTTTTTTTAAATTATTATCACATTAAAAATATAAAATTTCAAACACTACTCCATATCCTTTTCAGTCATTTTACAACTAAACTAACTTTTTTATTAATCATCCAAACAACTTTTAACTTTTTCAACTGACTTTTTAAAAGCATCTATCCAAACATAAATTGCATTATACTAACTGATTTTTATTCTAACTTCAGTTATAAAAGTCAGTTGGATTAGAAGTCAGTTTTGCCCGACGCCAATCTAATCATACCCTTAGTCAAATTCAAATCGAAGTCAGGGCAGCCAAACTTATTAAACGACGTGGTCTTGGACTGAAGCTTGTCCTGGTTGAAACACGGCGCAGGTGCTTGAACCACTGAATCTGGCAAAACAGCACCAACCTCATAGGTTATAACGTGTGTCGATATTCCTGCAAATTCACATTTATATAAATCCACATTACTGTTTTTTGAATTTAATTAAAAAAGAAGAAGAAGAATTTGTGTGAAGTAGGAATTAAGAAGAATACCGTCGGAGAAGTCCCAGTGAACGGGCCTTCTGGTGAGAACATCTTCGTAGTACCAAATGAAGCCGACCTTCTCCCACACGTGGCAGAGGAAGCCGTCGCTGACCCGAGTTCCAAGGTAATTAGCGTCGACCAGAAAATCGGGCCTCGGAATCCCAACCCCGTAGTCCACCACTCTGCACGTAGGGTTTGGCCCCAGCGTGAAGTAATACGACGTGCCGTTGCCCCACTCCGCGTTGTACAGGAGGTCATCGACTAGTTGCCGCCGGTGTATGTAGAAGCTACGACGCTTGGGCCAGTCGTACCAGAGGTCAGCGACATGAAGGGGCTTGCCGCTAATGTTCATGTACAGAAGCGCGTGGAATTGTTCCGGCCAAGGCGTCGGAGTTGGGGTTGAAGTTGAACTTGTCGGGCAGTTCATGAGGAAGAGGATCAGAAAGATTAAGCACAGCGGTTTGAGGTTCATTTTCATGTCTCTGGAACAGGCCTTGCTCTGTTTTTCTGTGTATTGCTGGGACGGAGTTCCTCTCTCGTCAGTGAGCAAATTCCTTCAGATAATGTTTTCTTCTTTTCTAGCGCGCATCTGCCACCTGGTTTGATTTTCTATCACAAATATCTACGTTGCCCAATCTCTCCGTTACAGGATTTTAATATATTTTAAAGTTATTTTTATTTCTAATAATTATCTGTATTAATTATCAGGGATAATTAATTTATCAATCCTTATAATTTTACCAAATTTTAAATTCACCACCTGATTGAAAACTCTATGGACTTAGACCTGAAAACTCTATAGTTCCGTTTAGTACAAAGCATTGAAAATTAGAGATTGAGATTGGAATTAGAATTGAAAAAAATCATTAAAATAGTATTTAGCATGAGTAATTACTTATTATATAGTATTAAACAAATCCATAGAGGTGAGATTGGGGAATACTACTTCCCCCCATAGTATTCTCCAATCTCACATACATGGGTTTGGTTAATTCCATATAACAAACAATCTCTTATACTAAACACTTTTTTAATAGATTTTTTTAATTGTAATCACCCCTCATTTTCAATACTTCCTATCAAACATAACCTATAGCCTAGGCCAACTACCTTGTCAAAATGTCTCACAATTTTGAAAGGAAGTACTGCATTTTTAATCACACCCTGTTTTTCCTCTAATTTTGAGATGGACGGTGATAAAAAAAGCTTTGGAAAGATGACAAAAAAAATACTTACGGATATTAAAAAAGATAAGAAGTGATCCAAATAAATGAAATAACCAAATAGACATGAGGTATGAATTTGGGATGTGCAGATTTTGATAGAATGACTAATACGCCTTTGGAGTAAGAAAAAGAAAAGGCAATTGAATATTTTCACATACTAATACGTTGATTAAAATAGGTTGCAAAACTCATTACGTTAATAGCTACTTTTATTTCGTAAATTGTTATTCTCGTTACATATTTAGTAAAATTGTCAGCAAAAGCATTAAAAATAGTTATAAATAAACAAGTTGCAAATCCTCTAATGTAAATGGCAACTTTCATTACACAAATTGTGATTCTTTTTACTTGTTTTGTAAAACTATCTGCAAATAGCTTATAACAGATTGTAAAACTCTTTATACAAATAGTCATTTTTATTTCACAAGTTGTTATTCTCGTTACATATTTAGTAAAATTGTGTGTAAATGAATTAGAAATTGTTACAAATAAAGAGATTATGAAACACAATATGGAAATTGGTATATTTATTTTAAAAGTTGTCAATCACTTTGCAAATGCTGTTAAAAGCTACTTTCATTATAATGACACCCCAAAGTAAACATAATTTGTACTTGTTATCAATAAATGTGCAATAATAGTGATTAAATATATTTTTGTAAACAAATTCTATCTATAATAGTGATTAAATATATTTTTGTAAAGAGATTCTATCTACAATCATAACTTAAATATCATAACAATAGTTGGATAATGTATTTGTGTATACAAAACTCTTCTTAAACTTCTTCTTTGGCCTAGGAAATTCTTTTCGAAACAATATGCGTCAACTCTTCACTTCTTTGCTTGACTCTCCTACTAATACCATTTTTCCCTCTTGCAAAAACACGACTTTATAGTGATCTACTATACTATATTTTCTTCATAATAATCTAATCATTATCAAAAGAAACATAGTCAATTCCATTGCAAAGTGTAGTAAATCTCACAATCCACTTAATTTAATTTGCTTTACAACAATGTAGTTATTATCATAACAAATCTGATTAGTTCTATTAACAAATGAGTTCAATTTCAATAACCAGTTAATCTCCTTGGCTTTACGGAAAAGTTATTACTACTAATACAAATATAGTGATTCACATCATAAGTGTTGTCATTTCACCACAAACCAACTAGAACTATTTATTACTTAAGTATCGAAATTTGCCACTTAAGTAATAAAATTTATTACTCATTCCTGATTTAATAGAACATAGCAGAAAATAGAAACTAACAAAATAGCAGATTTTAAGAACAAATTTTATTAGAAGATAATAAAAAGTTAATCAATATACTTTCAAACCTTGCATAAAAATATATATCCTGATTCTATGGGTGCTTCTTCTTCCTTTCTCTCTTCCTCATTTTTTCTCTACTTCTTCTTTGAACTTTATTTATTTCCCTCTCTCTCTCTCTCTCTCATAGTGTTGGTGATGAGATTGAGAAGGGAAGACAAAAGACAGGAGATACCAAGTCTCAAACCCCAAACATTATGAAATATTCATTAGAAATATACCAGAACGCTGTAGGAGAAACCACATCTTCTTCTTCTTCACTGAACCTTTTGACAATTTATGCCTAGCTTTTTCAATTCAGCTGCCCTTTAAAGAAGAAGAGGATCTGAAGAGAGAGAGAAGAGCTATCTGAACATGAAGTGAGAGAGAGGAAAAAAAGGATGAGAGAAAGGATATTGAGGTAATTTGCTAAAATTTGTAAATCCCAATTTAATATCTCTAGACCTATTTGTCCTTTGTGAAATTAGAATGACTAATATGAAATTTTAGAATTCAAATGATATTTATATGGGATTTTCTCAAAAAGTTTTTCCTTTCTTGCTGTAATTTTGTTTATTTCCTCTCCCTTGAGGTAATGATTTTCATATGTCATTCCAAAAAAAAAAAAAAAACCACCTCCTTCACATGCGTCACCTTCAAAGTGAACACCATTGTTATCTCGACCACCATCATCTTAATCTCCTTTCTTGGAGAATATTTACTTTGGTTCAGACTCACCATTTCCTTCTTGTAGTTGTAATAGCATCCTCATTCTCCTCCTCCATTTGTTCAGCTTACCTCCCATTGCGATCGATGTTTTCGTAACTTCTATGACTTCTTATTTTTCTCTTTTCCAGCGACGGAAACATTCCGTCCCAAATTCCGTCAGTATTCGTCATTTAGCGACGGAATTTGTGACGGAATGTTTCCGTCGCTAAATTCCGTGGCAAGTCCGTCGCAATTCCGTCGGAAATTAGCTACGGAATTTCATTTCGTCGCTAATTCCATCGCTAATCGGCTGTTTTTTTGTAGTGTTCATACGTAGATTAATGACGATGGTGAGGGGAGAAGAGACGCATAATTCAAAGTACAACGTCATAGTTGGGAATTGATTATTTAGGTAGAATAGGGTTTCGTTTTTTCAACCAAAAAAAAAAGTCAATTGATTAGGTTTTCACACTCGATGACACTAGAAGTAAGAGTGTGGTCCAGTGCAAACCGCGATACTGCACAAGAATGGAAGTGATTAGTTTGCATATGATAAAAGTATATTGGTAGATTGGAAAAGGAGAAGCCACAGAAGTTGCATAGAGATAGATGGATCTCCATGGGAGGTTAGCAAGAATGGAGGAGGAAGAGTGAGCACAGCTTGGTGTCCTGAATAGAACAGGTTTCCTATTCATTACGTCGGTTGGTTTGATGATGGTGGAGAAAGAGAGAGTACATGAATTAAGGAAAAGATAATGACATCTGCTTTGAAGGAGACCAAGGAGTGGGGAGGTGGCGCGTATTCGATTGCCGTATTGTTCGTAAATACAAGAAAATCACTATTAAAATAGTTTTTTTTATAAAAATGATGATGCTTCGGCTTCCTACAAAACAGACTGAAAGATCAACTTTGCAAACGATTAAGCTCAATTAGAGTTAGCAGTGTCAAAACTCAGAAGAATCAATGAAATATCACTGTTCTTGCTATTTTCACTGCGATGATGCAAGGATAAAATTAAAAAAAAATTATTCTCTATCCAGTGACTTTGTTTTTCCTCTTGGAATAAAAGTTCGCCAACAATCCCATCACTTTATATATAAGTAAATTGCTTGTGTGCGGTATTATATGTTATCTCTAGCAATTGATATAATAAAAACTAGTTATGGATTCAATTTTATTTTAAATATAAGACCCTAATAATATTTATCCATTTTGCCTATATATAAATTTTATAATGACTACACATATTAAGAAATTTTCACTAAAAGGTAGTTTCTGCATACATAATTAATAAAGTATTTAGAAAAAATAATAGTCATTTATTATAAATAACTAACTTAACTAATTTTTTTATATCCTTAAATCAGTCATCTAGCTATTAATATGCAATTAATAACAGCAAAATCTTATCCTACTAAATAGAATCAACATGGATGGCACGGTATTGAGTGTCATTATATACTCCTAATACATATGAAGGGGGGAAAAAAACAAATTATCCAAGAAGGGATCGTGTCTTTTAAGTAATGATGTTAATAACGTTAGTGATGGGAGCAAGTTTCAGTTTGGTTTGATTTTTCTTCTTTCCTCCTTTCATAGTTCGCTATTCTTTCTTAAATATATTTGGTTGGAGAAAAATGAAGACCAAAAAAAAAAATTTAAGAAGTTCAATTTTAAAAATATGAAGAAAAAAATGCTTTCTAATTAATTTTTATCATTTCGGCCAAAAAAAAAATTAATTTTTATCATTCTTTTATTAAACGTTTTTCCCTTAAAAACTTTATAAATTTAATTATTTATGTTCTTAAATTAATCTAATTAAAATCTCATTGCAATCGCTTCATTCACTTCCAAGTTCCAAGTAAATACAAGTCAAGCAAATTGCACATATGTAGCTTAACAGCTCTGACATGTGGCAGGTACCAGCAGATTAATCCACATACAACTCGTTTCTACGGTCATTGAGCCCTTCAGCATGGTTTGTCACCTTTCAATGCCAAGCACATGATTATTAATCTAAAGAACCTACCTAAAAAGAACCCCCCCTTTTCCCAAATTAAATTGAGGGAATCATTTCCAGCAAATATAATATATCTTTAATTATATATAAGTATTTTTAATTTTAAACATGATTAAAACCATATTAGATTCAATTTTTTATATATGAAAATAAATTGTAACTAATTTTCTAGACAAATTTCAGGTTCAATTCAGCAACTTTCCAAATCAAAAAACGTTTCCTGTTTTTTCCCCGGAGGACAAATGGGGAGAATTTGATTTACCACTCCTAAATTAGTCTCCTTTGGTACGTCCGCATCTACATATAATATGCTGAAAAATATAATATGTCTGCTTACATTTAAAAGTTCTGGCAAAGAACATGGAATTCCATGATCTGCGTTCTACACTATGAATCAAAATCAGGGCGCCCAAACTTATTAAACGACGTGGTTTTGGACTTAAGCTTGTCCTGGTTGAAACAATGAGCAGGCGCTTGGGTAACTGAATCTGGCAAAACGGCACCAACCTCATAGGTTATAACGTGCGACGATATTCCTGCAAAATCACATTTATACCAGTAAAATCTCAGAAAAACACCTCTAAAGTTCAAAATCTCAAATCAATACGCTATTATTGGCTTTTTAAACAAAACTTGTTTGAAACTTGAAAAAGGAAATGTATTTTTCTGTGATTCCTTTGTATAAATCCACATTACTCTTTTTTTATTTCTTTCAAGAGGGAAAAAAAAAAAAAAAACCAGAAGAGGTTGTGTGAAGTTGGAATTCCGAACGATACCGTCGTAGAAGTCCCAGCGAACGGGTCTTCGGGTGAGAACATCTTCGTAGTACCAAATGAAGTCGACCTTCTCCCACACGTGGCAGAGGAAGCCGTCGGTGACCTGAGTTCCAAGGTAATTAGCGTCGTCCAGAAAATTTGGCCTCGGAATCCCAACCTCGAAATCCACCACTCTGCACGTAGGGTTTGGCCCCAGCGTGAAGTAATACGACGTGCCGTTGTCCCACTCGACGTCGTACAGGATGTGGCCGACTAGCTGCCTCCGGATTATGTTGACGTTACGACCCTTGGGCCAATCGTACCAGAGGTCAGTGAGTTGAAGGCGGGCGTCGCTTAGGTTCATGTACAGAAGCGCGTGGAATTGCTCCGGCCAAGGCGTCGGAGTTGGGGTTGGAGTTGAACTTGCAGGGCAGCTCATGAGCAAGAGGATCAGAGAGGTTAAGCATAGCGATTTGAAGTTCAATTTCATGTCTTTGTGGAAGAGTCCTGGCTGTGTTTCTTTCTGTCTAGCAATTCCTTCGCATGATGTTTTCTTTGCTGGCTAGCGCATCTGCGGCTGCCACCTGGTTTCGTTCTCCGTCGCAGATATCTAGGGGCACAACAGTACAAGGGGCTCTCCATCACAACATTTTAATACTGCGTCCCTGGTATTTATAAATTTATAATAAATACTAATGATATATATTAACTAAAATTATCATTTTATAAATTTTTTGATATGTGTAATTATTAAAACGACTACATTAAAAAAATAGATAAATATAAAAGATAAAATAAATTAGAGTTTTATATATAAAATTAAATTGAATGTCAAACTAACTGTTATATTAAGATTAGAAATAGGAGATACTAATATATTCTTATTTTTTATAATTATTTTCGACCTCTTGTAATTTCGTATGCTCTATATTAATTAATTAACAGTACTGGTGATCATTTGCTTGATGAAAATTGATTTAAGGTTAATTTATAGTAATTTTATTAGGGATAATTAATGTATAAGTCCTTATAGTTTCAACTGATTTTTAATCAGGTCCCTATAATTTTTTTTCTTTTTATCAGATCCTTATACTTTCATATATTTTTAATCAAGTCCTTATAATTTTTTTCTTTTTATCAGGTCCTTATTGTTTTATTTTGTTTTTAATTAGGTCCTTGTAGTTTTTATTCTTTATTTTACAAATAATAACATTTTGAAAATAATAAATTATTGTAACAATCTTATGTTAATATTTTTTAAATTTTTAGTTAAACAAATATATTATTTATTTTCAATTCGAATTTTTATAATTATAAAATTCAAATTATAAAAATAAATTTATCTAAAATTAAAATATGATTATAAATAATTTATATTTAATTATAATTATTATTCTGATTGTTTATTAATTACTAAATGATTATATTAATTATTTTGTCCAATTATATAATTATTAATTTAAAAATGAAATTAATTTTAAAGAATAAAGTTAATAAATAATTTTTCAAAAACTACAAAGCACCTAATTAAAAAATAAGCGAAACTATAAGGACCTGATAAAAAGAAAAAAAAAATAGAATGACCTAATTAAAAACACACGAAAGTAAAAGGATCTGATAAAAAGAAAAAATTTTATAAGGACCTAATTAAAAATCAGATAAAACTATAAGGACCTGGAGATTAATTATCCCATTTTATTATTACAATAATTTATTTCACAATATTTGATTTGAAATATATCTTATTTATATAAATATATTTATTATTTTGTTATCCAAGTAAATTGTTCACTTTATCATATTTTAATTCAAGCAAAACAATAATAAAAACTAATTTTTTTTCACTTGAACTTATCTATTCTAGAAAATATTTGAGTATGGTATGTTTTAAAGTGAATAATAAAATCTCACGTGAAATCAATATGAATAGTTTAAAAATATTATAAATTTAGAAAATCAAATAAATTAAGATTTTATAATTAGAATCATCACAAATGTCTCAAACTTTAATAAGACTAAAAAGAATATTATTATTAGTATATGGGATAATTAATCTCCAGGTCCTTATAGTTTTATCTGATTTTTAATTAGGTCTTTATAAAATTTTTTCTTTTTATCAGATCCTTTTACTTTCGTGTGTTTTTAATTAGGTCCTTCTATTTTTTTTTTCTTTTTATCAGGTTCTTATAGTTTCACTTATTTTTTAATTAGGTGCTTTGTAGTTTTTGAAAAATTATTTATTAACTTTATTCTTTAAAATTAATTTCATTTTTAAATTAATAATTATATAATTGGACAAAATAATTAATATAATCATTTAGTAATTAATAAACAATCAGAATAATAATTATAATTAAATATAAATTATTTATAATCATATTTTAATTTTAGATAAATTTTTTTTTATAATTTGAATTTTATAATTATAAAAATTCGAATTGAAAATAAATAATATATTTGTTTACTAAAATTTAAAAAAATATTAACATAAGATTGTTACAATAATTTATTATTTTCAAATGTTATTATTTGTAAAATAAAGAATAAAAACTACAAGGACCTAATTAAAAACAAAATAAAACAATAAGGACCTGATAAAAAAAAAAAATTATAAGGACTTGATTAAAAATATATGAAAGTATAAGGATCTGATAAAAAGAAAAAAAATTATAGGGACCTGATTAAAAATCAGCTGAAACTATAAGGACTTATACATTAATTATCCCTTAGTATATTTACAAAAAGCTTTTGAATGCGTCAGTGAGAAGCATGGAGGCATAGAGCTCTCTAAAAAGAGATAGAGGTGAGTCCTTTCAATTCAAAATACATTTAAAAATTTGATTTTGGATAGAACTCAATGATATCCTGCTATCTATATATTACTATTATATTTATAGAAGTTACAAGACACGAGTTTCACATAGGCCAGCACAAGGAGGACAAAAAAACTCGTTATAACTCTTTACTCAATGGCGGAAGATAGAAACAAACTGTCAACCACATAATGTCCTTATTAGAAAGACATATACACCCATACTGCTCGTAAATATTAGAAAAATAACCATTAAAAAAGAAAGAAAGAAAGAATGATGCTACGGCTTCCTACAAAGCGGACTGAAAGATCAACTCCGCAAGCTCCTGCAACATTGCAGAAAGACATATCAGACATTTGCTAGTTAGATTATGAAATAAACTCAGTTACAGTTTAGTACTGTCAAAAGAAGAATCAATAAATTTAAACAGAGTAGCTAGACCTGCCCAAACATAGGACCAGTAACTTGTTTACTGTTCTTACTATCGTCTCAAGTCTACGAAGAATGCTAGTACAGATCAACTCGTAAGTCATAAGCAAAGAAAGTAGTTTTGGCTACTATGCATTACCTGTTTGGCAGAAGGAACCTTTGGCTCTCCCCATTCCATGACTTTCTTCTCCAGGAACTCAAAGTCAGCTTTACCGGCCTATATATGGCAACACGTTTTATCATCACTGGGTTAACGACAGAAGACATTTCATGCTGAGAGGAAGAAAGAAAAGTTGGATGTTATTACCTCGATCATACTACCGATTTCAGAGTCAAAACTCTGGTATCTCTTGCGGACAAGCTCATCCAAGGAACCATCCTAGAGTCGAATATGACAGAAAAGGTTCATTATTTGTCAGAAAAATTGAAGATGAGTTTCAACAAAGACTTGAAAGAATTCAAAGAGGTACAAGGTAAGTAACAATGTATTACCTCAATTATTTTGGCAGCATTTCTGAGGCCACGGGCCAATGTATCCATTCCAATTATATGTCCAATGAACAAATCTTCAACATCAGTACTCTCTCTCCTCCTGCAATATTGTACGTTCCATGAAGAGATTGAGCAAAACAAGGATGAAAGAGCCACCATTATTATACACTACATGTGTAGAACCACAATCAATTTCAAAATATTTAAAATATAGACCAACTCTGCTTACAATTTTGCATCAAAGTTGAAACCGCCAGGTGCAATTCCTCCCTGACAAAGATAGAACAGGCAAAATTTATGAACCAGAGGTATGAGATTTCATTACTACTAATTACAAGGTATGTTGGACATTATGATGCAGGTTAAAAGGCAGGAATATCATACATTTCTGATCACAGTGAGCATAATGTTTGTTGCCTCTCCAATATCTATGAGAAACTGATCCGTGTCCCAACCTGTGTAAATAGAACAACCTTTAACTTGCTATCCTGGCACATCTCAACGTGATGTCTGTGTTTCAACGTTGAAAGTTCCACTGTATAAGAAAGAAACACACGTACCAACTTGAGGATCACCAGTATTTGCATCGATATTTCCCAACAGTCCATTGATTCTTGCGGTTTCGAGCTCATGATGACAGCTTCCATTTAGAAAGGCATCAAAAGTTAGTAACACTTGCAAAGGAGAAGAAACTTTACTATAAGTTCAAAATACAATGTTTCATTCACCTATGGCCAGATAGGGTAGCATGGTTGCACTCGATGTTTAGTTTAAATTCATCTGCAGAAGGAAAAGAAACAGAGTTATGCAGTCAAGTTGTATTACGTCAGTTCAGGTTCATGCACAATGCAGTTAAAAAGAGGATAATATTAATTATTACCTATAAGTCCATATTTTCGCAAGAAATTAGCTGTGGTTGCAGCATCCCAATCATACCTGAAAGAATACATAATCCAGATATCAGAGAAGATGTAACAAAAATAAAATAAAATAATTAATTACAAAAGCGAAAAGCATACTGGTGTTTTGTAGGCTCTTGTGGCTTGGGTTCAATCAGCAGTGTGCCTTAAACAATAAAACAAAAACAAAATCACTAATCAAGGGCCATTTCTTAAGAAAACAGAGAAGGAATTAATATAAGTATAAAAGTTTCATTTTTTAACAGCACCGTTTGTAGAATTTATTTACCCACATACGATTCCAATCACAACTTGTGATTGAGTATTTCATATATTAACTTACCATTGAACCCAATTTTCCTTTTGTGTGCAACAGCAGATTCAAGAAACCTAGCCTGTAAGCATATAAACAAATAGTTGTTAAAAAAACAAAAGCAACCAATTATTATAGATAAAATACTATTGAATGTCTAGTAGAAGCACATGAATACCAAGAACTAGTAACTTTAAAATATATATTGCTTTGTTTTATGTGGACCACTTTATTTCAAGGGATTTCTTTATATATGAATAAAAAGTTTTTCTACTTTTAAGGACAAAAAATTTACTCAAACAAGAAAAGGAAAAGGTAGTATAATCAAAATAGTTGAAAGGCAGAATAGGCTAACCAAATGATTAAGCTCTCTTTCCATGTCTGTATTCAAGAGAGATTGATAACCTTCACGGCCACCCCAGAAAACATAATTTTCTCCCCCCAAATAGTGCGTGACCTGCAGTGCGTAAACATCAGAGAAATTTAAAAAGTTTCCAGAAGCGAACTGAACTCGCGTGCTAATTAATGCTCACACAGAAATGTACCAAGTACCTCCATGGCTTTCTTGACTTGAGCAGCAGCATAAGCATAGACTCCTAATTCAGAGCTATAAGGAAAAA